CCTTGAAGGCCATTGCGGGCATTACACAAGGTGGGAGTAACTGCTAAAGAAACGTTATATAAAGGAACAAACAAAAAAGTGGGTTACATGCTGCGGGCATCTTCTAGCTCCGATTCCCACAGACCCTGTTCCCGGATGAATATGACACTTCAATACTTCGCTCTCGGCAAAAGGGTTTATTCACTCACTCATTGCCTTGGGGGGTTTCGGGATCGGGGGACGGTCAACAGCGAGGCCGGGGGAGAGTCCGCTGCCACAGCAGCTTCTCCGAGTCCCAGCGGTGGTCATCCACACCGCGTCATGGGGACATCGTCGTCCAGGGTCGCTGTCCGGTCCGCTCGTCGAGTCCGCCACTCGACGTAGTGCCCGCACTCCCTGCGCCAGCGTCCAGCGCCGTCCGAGCTCGCCTCCATGACCGGTCCCTTGAGAAGTCGGCAGCCCAAGCCCTAGCCTTCTTCCTTTGTCTCCGTTCCCTTTTTAAGACCTTCCCAAGTCCTTGTCCCGTCGACCGTCCAATCGGGAACCTGCCACGAGCCGATCCTCCGACGTCAGCGCTGGGTGAGGGGGGCGCTTGCCCCGTTCCTCCCGGAGAGCTCGGACATTCCGCGACAGGCCGGCGACTGGAAACGGGAAGGTCACAGGGAACGAAGGAGCGCCCGACAATACGGCGGCGGGGACCGGCAAGGTCACGGAGAGCGGAGGAGCCAGGGAGAGGGTCCCCACAATGCTTAACATCGAATATTAAGGTGTGTAAGCTCGTTATACATTTATGTTCGAATTTTCTTTGGGTACGCGGTCACGTCAGCTATGGGTCATCGTTGGTTGATCAACCGGCCGCCTTCGGGCATACACCAGCGCATACATGGAGATTGCAGGCATGCCATGTGCCTGCCATCTCCATTGCAAAAAACAAGGTTTCGTAATGAGGTGCAAAATCCTTCTTCCGCTTCCCGAAGACCGAACAGACGGGAGTAATTAAGTCACTTCAAATTAAACTGGAAGAGCTATCCAAGTCTGGCTTCAAAATCGCCACTGACGCCTCAACAGATGCATATTTCGCCTAATAAGAGTTCAGCTGAAAACGCACTTGAGGCCGCTGATCGACACTCAAAACAAAGGCACGCTGTGCAAGGATTGCCTGGACATGTACGCCAACAAGTACTGGAATGTACCTTTGAACTGCTACGCCAAGCGAGCAAGCAAACAACCTGCCAAAGTCACTGGGAAAACAAATGCGAAAGCGAAAACAGGTCACACACTGCTTACACGAAGCAGATTGCAGCGTAGGATTCTTATTTACCGGGCAGTGTGAGCTAGCCTACGTTATTCCTTTCCTCTAGCTGTCCTCAACATCCCACTTTTGATGCACTTCAACCTTCTACGTCCTTCCGACTCTTTGAAAACAAGCCGAGCATTGTTCGGCCCCTGAGTTTCAGAGTGCAGAGCATGGCAACATCGCTCCATCTCCCCTTTAGTGGGGCTGCTTTGCTGAGGGGCAACGAGAGAGTTGCGCCGTGGGACCTTTTGCCAATTTCTTGTGACTGGTCACTGTCTAAGTACAGAAAGAGAGCTATTTCTCCACTCGTTCTTCAGCAGGAGTTTGCCGATTTAGAACAAAAATACAAGGACTACTCACATTTTTACACTGATGGATCGAAAACATCAACTTTTGTGGGGTGTGCAGTTTATTCCATTACCTTCAGCAAAGTTCGACAACTCCACACTGTTGCAAATATTTTTACTGCCGAATTGTATGGTATTTTAATAGCTGTGGAGTACTTATTAGAGAACAATATCATGAAAGATTTCTGTTTGTCGACTCCCAAAGCGTTCTTTTGGCCGTTTCGTCCTTATCAGACAGCAAGAACCTTCTCGTCCAATGTCTTTGGGTACGGCTATACCAAGCACTTCAACTAGGACACCAGATCAAATTCTGTTGGGTCCCAAGCCACGTGGGTATTTCTGGCAATGAAAAAGCAGACTTGCTTGCTGCCTCTGCAAAAGAATACCCAAAACTGCTTCTTGGCCTGCCACACCAAGACCTGAAACCGATCATACAGAAATCGATTATGAAGTCATGGCAGTTGGATTGGGATTTGGAAAAAGAGAACAAGCTTCACAATATCAAGCCATACTGGGGGTATGGGAGAGTTCCTTCCATAAAGTCCGTCGGGTTGAGGTTCTCCTTTGGCGCTTAAGACTTGGTCATACCCATTTGACTCATTTGCACCTGCTCTGTGGTGAGCATGTTAAACTTTGCAACAAGTGTGGGAAAGATATGACGGTTTTGCACATCCTGTGGCATTGCAAAGCTTTAAACCAAGAGTGCCGAAAATGTTTTCCAGAATTGTTTCGAGATCCCCCCCCCCCATTTCATCCATAGTTTCTGCTTGGCGATCAACCATTGGTACCATTCGATTGAATTTTAAATTTCCTTCGCAACACTGACCTTTAACACCAGCTGTAACGTGCAGTTCTTTTAGATTACACCTCTAAGCCCTTTGGGAAAACCTTTGTTTGGCGCAATATGGCCTAGGTTGCTCTTGCGCCATAAAACCCCAAATCATCATCATCATCACTTCCTTTCCCCTCTCTTTTGTTCTTCGTTCCTACCAACGCCGCGAAAGCAAATAAAGAAACGTGCAACGTGCAGCTAAAAAAAAAGTGAAGCTCTTTTTTTTTTAGTTTTGTCGTGTTGCTTCCGCTTTGTTTGTCGCGGACTCAACACCAACGGCGAGCACCACCTGCTGATGTTCAATGCTGTTACCGACGCCCCGTGCGATCGTCGTCGTTGAAGGAACTCTTTGCTGGGTGATCTGTATCTTTGTATCGTCTGCTAACTTCATCGTTTCATTCGCCGTTGTTCGCGACTGTTCCCCATTTCTTTTTAATTTCGTCTGGGATGGGGACCCCATCTTTTCTGCAAAGTCCGGAAAGTGTTTGCACGGTAATTTTTCTCGTTACTTTTTGTTTTTGTAATGCTGTAGAGGCTGGTGAGCTTGCTCTGGTAATTTAAACATATTGTTTGCGCACGTTTTAATAATCACCTCTTCAGGTAAGGAATTGTGACAACGCAGTTTCTAACGGATAAACAGTAACTTCTTACGACGTAGTTCGAGCGGCTAAACGCCTTTTTTCCGCTTCCCAGATGCGCTTCAAACGCGTGTGATCCCCCTGCATGAGTGGCGTTTGAGACCTCTAAATAAATTGCTCTATCTTCGTTTATGCGCGCGTTGTTATTTGTTTGTCGTTGCAGTTGCAATCAGTGGATTCCGCTTTGCAAACGGGTTGACCGTAATGAATTGTTTCAGTTGTTGGGGTGAAGAAACGGGGCTCGCAAAGCTCGAGGACGTCGCGGAGCCTATACTTTAACATTGCGTCGTCCGCTTCCGTAGACTCCGAGTCCGCTTTTGGCGCCATTGTCACGTTCGCCGCCGCTCCCATAGGTTTTCGGAGGAGTTTCCAGTATTGGCGAAGCTATATCGTATTTGATATGAGTGTCATGCTGTTGCCGGCAGTGATCCTAGCGGTGTCCCAACAGCTGTAGTGTTGTAGCAGACTCCTGTTCTGCTGCAGGTCGCTCTCCAGCGTTGCAGTCCATGAAAGCTTTGGCCGTCAGAAATTGGGACGCCGTGACGACAGCGACACTGGCATTCGCTTGTGCTACTCGCAGTGTTTTGTTAGCATTTCTATGACCAACCGCCAGGATGGCGACCTCCGACAGCACAACACTCCGGCTTCTGTGACGTCATTCTTTTGCCACTTCGGGACCACTTTTGATGTACGGGCAGCACAGGAAGGCTATAAACACACCAGTCGAAGACGCGATCCAGGTACCATAGTATGAAGCATGTTTGCGCTATCTAGGCGGTAGCGTCACGTGTGACGTCACGTGTGACGTCATGCAACGTGACGTGTGACGCCACACGTGGCTGTGTGGCGTTACACGTCAGCTTACTTCAGCTAGTATAGCAGTTTTGTCTTTCATAATTGGTCCACTCTCTTTATGAGACCATACTACTCCCTTGCGAACTTTAAACCCAAAAAAAAAAACAATCATTGCTAAGGAGCGAAATGCGAACTGTGTCCGAGTTCAAAGGTCAGGCTTCTTAATTTAAGCAGATATATTTCGATGCTTTGCACTTCTGTTGCGGGCGAGGGTTTGCTCAGATCTTGTCTGAGCAAGCAGTAGCGTAATTTTGCAAAAACCGACGGAAAATATTTCAGCGAGGAGCTTTCAACAGAAGCCAGAGACGAACGGCTTGGAGCTTTTGGCGTGAAGTTTTTAAGAGAAGAGAACCAACCAACGTTTCGGCCGGACTCCGGCCGAAACGTCGAAGATTAAGTCGTCCGTTGTTGCTGTTTTTACTAAGGGTTCTTTTCTTCTTCTATACCCGCGCCTTCGGAACCCCGCCATCATGCACGTTGTATATATATCTTTATATATATATATATATATATATTTTTTACGTCCGCTGCATTGTGCCGCGCCGGCACCCCCTCCCCCCCCCCCCCCCCCCCCCCCCCCCCCCCGCTCCCGGACCTCCGTTGTTGCGAGGGACAGACGTCCCTCATTTGCTGCTTCTTCCTGTATCTTGCCTATTTTGGGATTGATTTTGTTATGTTTTTCCACATGGGGCGTTGTCTCCTTCTTTCCCTTACTTTACTCTTGTGCCGCCACTGATGTCTTAGTGAGTGAAATTTTCCTGCATGTCAAAACGCTGACGAAGCCGGGTCCTCCCGGCGAATCGGTTGGGAAATAAAGTTCTAAATTTTAAAGTTTTAAGTTGTCAAGTTGTTTTCTGGCGAGAACGGCACAATACATGAAGCGCGTTCTAGAAGTCGGGTATTCGAAAGACACGTCCTGCTGTTTTTATTCTGTCAGCGACCGTAGCCTGGTTTGATGAGTAATAATCCGTTTTCCACGATATCCCTTGCTTTTCACGACGGCTTTCTGAGAGATGTAGTGTCCTTTAGAGCGCATGTTTCATCCTCATCAGGTAGCGTCCCCGGACTGGGCGGAGCTTCGGCAGCGCGTCCGTTGGCTGTGGCCCGTGCACGCGTACGGGCTGGCCTGCCTCTTCCTGGGCCTGGCCGTGACGGCATTTCTCACGGCACTGGGCCTGCGGGCGCGGCTCTCGACCCGGCCGCACCTGTCCACGCTCAATGTCTTCCTGCTGCTTCTGGGCCTCACCAGGTGCCTCTGCCTCTTCCTAGACCCCTACGGCTCCAGGCAGGCAAGTGGCATTCGGCTTCAAATTACTTATTTGCCGCTATTTGGATGCCTTTCAGATATTAGGTTTTCTCTCGAGAAATTCGAGACTGAAATTATTGAAAAAACATTATTAGCACTCCGGCGTTTTCGGTATTGTTAAAGATACCATGGAGTTGCACTTTAGGTGGTCAACTGTTGGTTTCTCTCTAGATTATTTTCTAAAATCTTTCAAGCGTCTCCAAAAGTAGCTCGTTGAGTCCAAATGGTCGTATTCTCAAATACACTAAAGGAACATTCACTGGAGACACAAGATTTCGGGCTGAATGCGCGAAGCGAATAAATGGGTTGGTGGTCATTGGTGAAAAGCACACACTTACAAATCTAAACTTTCTTAGGTGTACACATAAGAAAAGTTAAGAGAATTTTTACTGTATACTTTTCACCGATGCACTTTGACAACCAGTCATATCAGTGTTGCAAGCGTACTTAGGAAATGGCTGGACATCGTTTGTGATTTTGTTATGTTTTGTTATGCTGACACACAACCAAGCGTTATGGGAGAATAATAGAAGGTGTAAAACATGCAATGGCGTGTTGGGGGGAAGGAGTGTTTTACATATTTTGTCAGTCGCATTCTGGTGAGAAAAGAACTTCTTTATATGGGTCGTCCAGCTATTCCCGGTTACGCGTATGAAGTGAAATGATGGAGCTCGTATGCGTTAAATGGTTTTGTTTTCGTTTGACTGCAGGCATGTTCACAAAAGCTAGTGCATTTCGCACCACCGCCATTTTTTGCTCTCGATTGAAGAGTCACAGACTGTCTGGATAAATATTGGTGAGCGGATATTGCCGCGCGCGCAGCTGGTCAAGTAGACAGCGCGGCCGTTGTTTAACGCTTATCGCGCTATTCCTCCACGCAGAAAGCCAGGGTTCAATTCCTGGCCGCGGGTACGAATTTTTGTTGACTCTAATGTGATGTTGTGGTAATTTCGAGAATTGTGTTGCTAATTCAAGGTTAGAATGCTCTACACGCCGAAGCTTCTACGCTGATTATTCCAGAAGAACACGCGTGTGCAAAAGAGGCTGTGCAAAAGTGGCTCCGCGTGGCAAGCCGGAGCCAGTCTCGCCCTGCGTACGATCCTGCTGTTACGCCGTCATCGACACCTGCGACGCTTTGCTGATTTCTTCCGTTCCCTTTTTGTTTTGGGCACAAGTTCGCCCCCATTAAACGTTTAGTTTCTTGAGTTATCATCGCCTCATCAATCGTCATCCGTGACAATATGTTGTGAATAAGACACTGTTAAACTAACGAAACGTCTGTGGGTCATCTTTCACTAAGAGGCATAATGCAATTCTGTGGTTTGACAGCGGTGTGTCTAAGGAGAGGGCTCAGGCCACAAAATTTTACGTGTATTGCACTGGTGAGGGGTCAAGCATAAGAACAATGGAGAAGTGTTGGAAATCTTCCAGAAGTTGTAACGCGACAAAAATGAACCAGTAGAAAGTCAATAAAAATATCCTGACCCTTTATCTCCATCCACGTTGAACGTGCCGGCACTTGCATGGTAATTGAGTAAGGTACTCTCTGCTCTGACTAAGGTTTTATCTAGCGCTGCTCTAGTACCATATATTTTTTTCCCACTGAAGCTGGTGCCCAGAGAAAGCTTTTGGGTAATTGCATCGGCATCGCGAGTAGATTAAGTTATTTTAGTGACAATTTTTTGATGCATAAGAAATGCAGCTTGTGCTTGCTAAAAAAAGGGCTAATTATCGAAAGAGATAGAGAGACGGGTAGCCTCTCAGCGTTGCTGATCACGTCCGCATGTACGCAGAAGCAAAATGCGGTGGCCCTTTTTTTCTGAGCGCTAGCCACGACCGAGAAGGAACCATGACGTTTTTCTCGCGAAATGTTTCGTATTAACACTCGTGAGAAAAAAAGAAAAGAAAAGAAAAGCGTCTTTACTGTAGTTGCAATTATATCGACGTTCACGTTAGAGACACAATAGATCATAGCCTAGTTTAATAAGCTTATAGCTCGAGGCTCTGTTTTGCTGAAAGCAGTGCTATGTTTTGCTGCCTGCTTACGAACAGCACTGAGTACGGCACAGTTCCAACAAACAAGCAATGCCAGATTTGTTTTACGGGATCAGCCGTTATTAGCGAGGTTTTTTTTCTTTTTTTGCAGGAAAGCGCCAAGGGTATTTCGTGTAGGGTCGTCGTGCTACCTGACGTCAGAGCGTCCCGTGACATTACGAAGTCAATTTCCGTCTTTGCGTCACGTGACATCGTCACGTTTAGCGGAGATATTGTCCAGCCAAATATAGCGAAACAATTTTGCCGCTAAATATGGCGGCACACGGTCTGCGCATTTCCTCGCCATGGTGCAAAGTGTTTTTCTCCTTTAAGTTTAATGTAAACATGACTCTGTGTGGTGTGGTTACGATGTGATCTGAGATCAAAAGAGTACACCAGCTCGGCTATCGCCGTAATTAATTTGCAGGGTACGACCAGAATCTGGAATTTTTGTTTTTTGCTTTCTCCCTTTCAAAATTCCAGCGCTGTCATCTACACGTGTACTAAAATGCGCCCATTCAGGCCGCCTGCTTGGGCGCTAAAAGGTTTACATCCGTGTCTCAATAACGTCTTCCAAATATAGCAGTGATGTTCCCGCTGACTACGTCGAACGGTATACATACGCTCCTGACGACTGAAAGCTAAACCTGAAGGTATAAACAAGTTTACAGTTCAGTCCTGCAAAACGCATTAGTTCGCCTTTCAGGAATTCACGCCCTGTCAACCGAATGGAAGGACTTCTTTTAGCGCAGTAATTGGCGACGACTGTAGTGGAAGGCCCGTGTTGGCTGTTAGAACGGGTAATTTTACGACCATTTTCAAAGGGTTTTTTCAGCTCTTAAATATTTTTAAAATACGGGCCTTCTGTGAGGCGAGGCTGCGCATATGGAGCTCGCTTTTTGAAAAGGACACGGAAATTTGCATGTCGAAAGTTAGTTAGAAAACGAGTGTTGGTCGCACACGGTTATTTGAAAGCTGGGATCCGAAACTATAATTAGTAGCGAATAAAAATGTGCTCGCACGATACTAGTGTAGCACTTTATGCAAGGCTTGAAATAAGAATTGTCTAAGCTTTATTAAGTCATATGTGAAAATACGTAGTTACAACATTCAGAAGAAAAGTTGAAAAGAATCGCGATACAATTAAAACAAGATTGCGTGTTCGAAAGCGCGAGAAAACGATGAAGGTTAAGACAAATTGCAAGCCAAGCAGCATAAAGTGCGCAGGTATTAATGACAATCTAAGCAATGAATAAAATCAATGAGGTGTATTGCGAAGCGTAGAAAAGGGAATTGAATCAAAGAAATATGATCACGATAGCCAACTTGAGGAAACGAAAATAAAACGTTTTGGGCGGTTTTACGTAATGCAAATGTTTATGTTTCCAAAGTTTTGAAGGCAATGCCGGATCTTTGAGTATGGAAAATGAATTTTAGATAGAGCCGAATTTAAAGCCATTCTACAGATTTCTGATTTTAATACTACTCTTTCGATGAATCCTCCCATTGATTGGGGCCTTACAACTAAATCAAGGCTGCTTTTAATCCAACATTTCTCGAAAGATTAACGATACAAAGCCGTTAGTTAAGTTTATATGTCCGGACGCTTGTGGTTCGTGTGGCATTTTACACAGTCGCCGTAGCTATCAGAGTTCCGGCATATTTGACACGCTCAGTAAAACATTGTGGATGATGTTAAAGTAAGGTGAGACTTAGGTATCTCTCCATTTCGAATGAAACCGGTTTGGCTGCTCTGACAAACTGTTAAGATGTTTTGGGGAAACTGAAGAAACACTACTTCGAAATAAAAAATTACTCAATAGCAATTTACCGATCAATCAGTTCTCAAACGTTTCGAGCAGGGCAACAGACGTTGGCGCGTATTTTTGCAGTACGCAAGCAGACGCAATGTTAGAAATGCAGATATTGAAGAAACTGGGGAGCCAAGGATTATCTTTTGACAGCTGTACATTACTGCGGATTTGCACCGAAAATGCCGTTATTCTAAAAATGCGGACGCCATATTTGTGGCAAGATATTTACCGAGGCCTCATTATTTCATTGTGTCTTCTACCTTATATCGGTTATTATTTGCTTTGTGTATAAACTCCTCAAAGTTGACGGATCCGCTGTTCTTTACTGTGAATTCTAGATGTTGAAAGTTATTAGTGGGTCTGTTGTGACTCAGTCCAGATTTATCTGAGTTGTGTGCCTGGTTGCGCAAGAGAAACAAAGTGAGGTAGCTCTTCTTTAGTTGTACGTTATGTTCAGACTGATGATTCTTGTGATGGTCTGTCTTTCTTGCGCTCCAACGTACTGATAAGGGGATCTCATAACAAGATTCGAATATTTATCTGGCACATGCTCTTTGAGCGTGGAAAATTAGGGCTCGCTTGGGCGCGGCTGTTCATTGATTTTTCCGATATAGTTAAGCATACGCGAACCTGACAGCGGCCGTGGATAGTGGCGGCACTGTTGACTTGCATGTGGTACGCCCCCGTTAAAAGCCTCAGTCAACTGGCTGTTCTTAGGTCTGCCGTGTTTTGGCGCATTGAAGGGAAATTATTTATAGTTCTTAATATGTCTTATGTGATACTTAGTTTTCTGGTCAAGGTGCGCCAATAGTGCTTGTACAGATATTACAAAAAAGATTTGTGCATTATTTGCCTGCTTATATTATATCATAATTTTATGTTTGGATGCCAACTGCAGATTAATATGAATGGAAGCTTTGTCCAGGCTGTGCCCTGTATTCCTTGTGTTGTCTGCAAATGTATTCTTTGTTCAACTTGTTTTGGTCGTCACAATACGTTGGTGCTTAGCTAATGTTGTCCCTCCTAAAAAGAGCTATATATTAGCGTAGGTATCTAGCGAAGTGTAATAAAGCTGCAGATATATCATAATGTTATACGGTAGTTTAACATTATGATGTATGTCATACGGTAGTTTTGAAAGTTAACATTGTTTAAAGAAAGTAATGAACTTCACAATAGAGGAATAATTCGTTAAAGCAAAAAAATTGTCTGGTGAACGAACGTTATCCACAAATTACTTCTCCTGTACGGAGAGTGCGGAAAAACTTGAAATTGCTTCGGATACCAGTTTTTATGAAGAGAATTATATTTTTCGCTCAGCATGTGAACTTATGTTTACATGGTAGTGTTTGGCCCGAGCTTCAGAAATAGAAATCACACGGAGGAAAACATCTAGTTGACATGTGACTAGAATACTCGATGGACTACGACAGCACCGTTTGTGAAAGTTGCATTTGGTTCACTCTGCAAGTCTCGATAGCACACAGACGGACGAAAATGCTTTATTTAGGAAGCGTTTGAACATAGCGCTGGCTTTGTGTTCACACACATGGTGCGCATAAAACGGTACACCGTCAACTATAATATATTTAAGCAATTTGTCTTTTCCTCCAACTTAAAATGCACCGAAGCCTGGAGATGCACACAGGACAAACTAAGATGTTGCTAAAAACTGTATGCAAAAAAAGAAAAAAAAAAAAAAAAACTATATGAACAAGATTTTTTGAGTAGAAAGATCCATTTCACAGATTATATTAAACTATTCACGCCCAATGTTTTCTCGCAAGCTCTTATACAAAATGGATGCAAAACAGTCAAACGATAGCATTCTGTGTAAGATGTGACAGCAGTTCCATCCTCGACACAGAAAGAAGCTGGAGAAAGCGGCTCTTAATAGAATCTTGGCACATACAAAATACAAGCAACAATCTGAACCGATCCACCGGAACGCTTCCAAGCAGCTAAATACTCGGGCTAAAGTGCGCCACACACAGAAACAGAAGAAGAAAACAAAGCTAAGAGAGAAAAGAAGAAAACGACGACAGGTTGCTACCTTTGGGCCCATATACAGTCACCCGTGAACAAGGAGCCGAGCTGGCTTCGAAACGTCGGGCACATCGAAGAAATTGGTTAGAGTCTACGTAGTACTTTTTCTTATTACTTACCTAACCAGGCGGAGTTCCGCCGAAATGTTTACATTTAACCTCAGAATAACAGTCTCGGTCTCAAAGGTGGCGGTCTGCGTCCTTAAAATTCGGTTCAAGCCTTGACAGGAAGCGTTCCTTTTTTGTTTCTTCTTCTGAACAACGCAAATTTAGCAATATCATTATGACAAACAAAAAGTATGAATCCGTTTAATAAATATGCGAAAACGTATGAACAATTATAAAAACTTCAATAACCTTATTACGATCTTTTAATAGGTTCAAGTGCGTTTATTGAACAATTCATATAAAACAATTCCTGTTTCTTGTAGGCTGACTGATTAATCGGAAGTGTCTTTATTTTACAGGTCGACCGTTCTTGGATAAGTCATTTTGGGACAGAGAGGGAAACCTTAAGGAAGTCATTTTTCAAGGCGTGCCTAAAACAATCAGGGTCTTGTAACGTACCTTTTCTCGACAAAGTGGCAAGATTCTTAACAGTGTTTCACGGACGCCACTGAGTTATTTCAGAACCTGACCGATTTTATAGGCATGCATTTTTTTGTTGCTTATTACCGACGCTACTCTAAATTGCTGAAGACAAGACAAAGTTTTTATGTGCCTGGATATGACACGCATGTCACGAAACTAGCTTTTCCCTAAAACAATACTTTCCCGTAAAAATTAATTGTTCTACTTCGGGTCGACGCGACGAAAGAAAAACCATCTTCGAAATCGCTTCTTTCTCAAAATGAGTTTCACGACTTAAGTACTGCGCTAACTACTTCGTTTATTCGGGAATATTCATTTTTGTGATATAGGCGCACTGTGCAGGCACATAAATGGAAGTTAAGTATCCTTAGGAGCGATTCCGAAATATGCTTTCATTTCGGGTCGACGTACCGAAAAAAAAAAAAAAAATGCGTGTTTTGGGGATCGCGCCGAACTCAAAGTATATTTCGCGAAGTAAATATAGAGCTAAAGGTTTCTTTTTTTTTTCCCGGAAAACTACGTTTCGTGACATATCCGTCCTAATCTGTCACTTACAAGACAAACAAAAAACGTTTTTTTGGGGGGTTTGGTGTTTTTGTGAGCGGGCCTGAGACATGCTTTCGTTTAGAGTCAACAATCCGAAAAGTAATCGTGTTTTATAGTTTCTATTAAATGGGTCTCGCGACTTATGTATTATGCGAAAATTCTTTTTCTGGAAAAAAAAATAATTTGGCGGCATACATACCTTGTCCAGTCACTTAAAAAAAAAGTTGCGGAGGAGTTGAGCGTTTGACTAGAGAATTTTGTTTCCCCTGCAGTTAATGCCCGGAGTGCTGCTGGCCATGCTCTGGGACCTGGGCTTCCCGTGCCTGCTGTCCGCCTTCTCGCTCCTCCAGCTCGCCTTTCTGCAGATCACCCAGATGCAGGCGAGCCCGTCCCGCATCGGCGACGAGACCTGCATCTCGCTCGTGGTGGTGCTACACTTCTGCCTCGCCATCCTCTCAGACATCCTCTGGGCCATGCAAAACTCTACCAGGGTTCGTTAAACACAACAACTACAACATATTCGCGAAAACTCTTCTTTAGAGTCCCCAAAAAACACGAAGAGCACGTAGAGTGTCGTTGGAAGTGTTCGGGAGAGGAGAGCGGCGAGACGGGGAAGGGGTATTTCAATCCGCTTTTCCCTGTTCTGGCGCAAGTGAGCACATAACGTTGCTTAATTCGAAATGTCGCCTGAACAGCACCCGTGAAACCAGGACACTAGTCACGACTCTCCACATACTTGCATATTAAAAGAATGACACTGCGTCAGAAGAGAATGTCGCGTATGTGAATTATGAGGCGTTATAACAATGCGTTCGACACACGTTGTAAATTACGCCATGAAAAGTTTTATTTTAGAATGAATAAGCACTAGCAATCGATATGTGCATTACTCGACCCGTAGCTAGGAATGTTTCGTATTTCGTTTGTATAAGAAAACTCGAGTTAATGGCGTATAAGAAGCAACATGTTTTCTCACTCTGTCGTTTTTATTTTAACGATGCGACTGCTTTCAGCCATTCAAAGAGTTTGTATTTCTTAGCTTCAGCAATTTGTTAGCGCTACGTATTTACGTGGCAGTTGATAGCAATGACGCCTGCACATTACGAGGACACTTGCACAAAAAAATAACATTGGCAACCCACATTTCATTTGCGTTTTATATGAATCACCTAATCGACCTTAGCACGCATCCTTCTGAAGCCACCTAATTTATATTTTTACGGGAAATATTATTTTAACTAAAACAAATTTTGGTTAAAAAAATACGACGAAGGTAGATTATTGCGGTCTTTCCAGGGGAGTTATTCATCTAGGCGAATTAACTATAGGGGGTTAATTGTCACGAGAATTCGAACAATTCCCTAAAATTTGCTCATTATGTTTTAATTTGTGAACATATGGCTCTAATTATGTTCACACTCGTGCAGCAGGTGCCACGTATTATATGGTTTCAATTCGGACATGCTGAGCATTATCTAAAACCACTGCATCAGTCAATTAAAAAAAAGCTCGAGGTGCACCTAAGCACTTCTTATGAGTTGTGAGTGGGAAAGCATGCAAGCCGCTCGTCCGCTCCCCTTTTCGTGTGGATGCCTGAGGCGGCGCCATTTCGTCGGTGTCCAGACGAGCAGAAGCACCGCCGACGATGTGGATGCTGGAGGCGGCGCCATGTTTGTCGGCGACGAGACGAGCAGAAGCCGCCGAGCGAGCGCCAGCGTGTCGGCGGTCGGTGAAGCTGACGCCCAGCGTCAGTTTCACCGACCGGCCACCCCATGGCGCTGCGTGTCCGGCCTCGTCGACTCGCGTCGGTCAATGGGACCGAAGTGTGAAAAGTGCCGTTGGCTAGCTTTGCGCATGGTTTCATAGGTGGGAGTTGGCGAGAAAGATTTAAGAGCCGTTTGCCGCGGTTTCAAAGCTGATAACGTCGGCTCGCTCCGTGAGACAATTGATGCTTTCGCATTGAAAACAAAGGTATTTGGAGCACGTGGTAAGAGCGGCAACGTGCTAAAGCTTCCATTCGTGCAGCAGGCGCAACATAGACGGGTCGAAAACGCGGATAAAGAGGTTCTCATCCTCCTTTTTGGTCCGCCAGTGTTGTCCTTGATGCACGAGTGCAAACTTCAGCGCACACCGGCGCTTTCCACGTGTTTTAAATACCTCTAAAAGATGACTGGTTTGGAGATAGTGGGAGGAATCTCAGCCAATTTTATTTAAAACCATGTGTTTATAGTGAATAACTGAAAATTTAGCACATTTTAGGTGATATCATGTCCTCCTGGCCGTATAACTCACCTACTCAGACCGAATTGTTCTGCGATTTCTGGCTTTTTTAAAATATAAATTTGTTCGAATTAAAACCTAACACCTCGTGTATATGTGTATGTATAGTTTTCGCTCTGTACTATTGTAGCGTAGTGCTCTTTTTGCTCTGCATCATTCTATCGATGCGTTTTTTTTCTCGGGTCGTGTTTGTACGCGCAGTATTTAAACTTTCCCGTCTAATCACATTCTGCTTCGTCATGTGATGTTGTCTCTGTGTCCGGGCTTTTTGTTCTAAAAAAAAACAGTAACAAACAAAATTTTTTGAAGCATCTGGACATGTAGTTATTTGCCGGTTACGTTCTCCCAAGTTTCTGCTGCAGTAAAGAGTCAAGGCACCCAGAAAAATCCCCTCACTCGAAGCTACCACTACCGTGTTTTTATGTGCCTTTTTAAATCGCTTTTTAACTCGAATTCCAGTTACGACATTTTGTGCTTACAGTACATCTTTCAGAAGAACGGGATAAAAAGAGCACGAAAAGAAAATTAGGGTAATGAGAACATGTGAGTGCTTTTCACTTAGCTTGCACTTGACGCCACCGCAGCACGTATAGTTAAAAAAAGAAAAGCCTGGATGAACAGTTTCATGACAGATACGGTACCTATGTGCATCGCGGTTGTAGAAATTTTATGGTTTTGTTCGAAATATCCATGATAGAAGTTTTGTAGATAACGAAATATTTAACAGTGCATCTAACAGCTTTATATAAGTAATAAAAACGCGGATGTGCGACATCACTGAATTATACTCTAAAAATAACTTGTGGTCAATAGTATTTAATTCAGCATGCGCAGGCTTGGAATAATTATATTTATCCTTCTCAATACATTAGTAACTATAACAACCAAAGCAACAGTACTTAACTATAAACTTCTGAACCATGCCAATTGAATTAGTGCGCTGACAGATGACTATAAATTTCCAGGCACATTCTGTTCTGATGGGAGCTCACGGCCGGAAGCTATATTCTAAACGCCACAACAGCTTTTCCCAAATATGTGATGTGGTTGCCAGGTGCCGTAGCTTTTTCGCTTTTACTGTGAATCTCAATATGTGTAAAACTCTTCTTAAAAAATAAAAAAAAACAAAAAAAACATTTGATTTATTATAATTATGGTTTATGCCACAACTGCGAAATGCAACTTAAATAGGACTCCATTGGTGAAAATTACGTTATGTCGAGTATTTTTTGGGTATATATACCATACTTAATTTTATAAATATAAACTAAAAACACTCGCACCGAAAGCATGTAGCTCTAACGTTTTTCATATTCGTTTTTTTTTTTTTATCTTCGGCATTTCTTGGTCTTTTGTAGCCCGTGTTGACTACAGCTATGAGAAAACAATAAATACTCGTGGTTTATTGAAATAGAGAGTCTTTCGGCTTTCAGCAAACATATCATAGTTCCCTCATTATAATGTGTACTTAGTTTAAATTAATAGCTCCTGATTCTGAAGTCTAGAAATATTATTACGACTTGTAAACTGAAACCAATATCTGTGAACATTTAAATTGGTATATTGAAAGTTTTAATTGTTATATTTTTATTGTATTGTTATAATTGCGAAATACATAACATGTTTACGCCATGAAAAGACGTTTCCATATGAAAATAAAATAAATATAAATATAGCCAGAACACGATTTTTCAACGAGAAAGCGTTTTGCTTGCCTAAATGCTGCACACAAGTGATTCAATTCACGTGCTGTGTCTCTGTTCCCTCGCAGGTCGTGTGGTTGTTCACGCAGCTCTCGTTCACGGCCTGGGGTTTGTTTGTGTGCTCTGCCTGCGTGTGCTCCTGCCTGCGGCTTCAGCGGTCCATTGCGCAGCTGCCCATGCTTCTGTTCCTGCCTCCCCAGCCGAGTGCACAGGACGCCATTGTGGTGGCAGCCTGCTACGATAACAAGGGCGTTCTACCTCTGGGCACCCTTGACAGGTACGGCCAGAATTGTGAAGTGAGTCTGGTGGTGGAACGTGAAAGAGCGCGCTATAAGCACATTAGCGACGGGTTTAATTAAGAAGGAAAATAATTTAGGACACATGCCATTTACGTGTTTACGTTGTATTCACCGGACGCCACATTTTAGTGCGCTTTGCACTGAGCATGCTCAGAACGAAATCCCATTTATAGGGTGCTCAGACTGAGAATCTTTATAGATAATCAAAATACGCATTGCAAAAAAAGAAAAAGTGGAAGTGTGTTGTTTGCACGCACGAGATAAAGTTTTCACTGATCTAAACGTCTTATCTGTTGACGCTCGCTCCTCCTGGCGTTTCTTGCCAATCGCGATGATAGTCCTGACATCCTTGGCTCTATGAGGAGAGCATCAACCTAGGTGGTGTCGTTCCGTGGTCGTCCCTCTTGCTACCGTTTCGTCTTTCTTTATTTTTTTATTCCAGTCTTTTTCTTTTATCAAACAATACAATCTAAGTTACCGCAGAAAGTAAATTGCTATTCTCAGATCATTCAAAGGAACATTCCGGAATCTTCAGAGTGGACACCCCTCTGAGTCTTCAGGAATTCTCAAGTGGCAGCCTCATCTACCTTTATGTTTTGTTAGGTCCTTTCACCTAGCGGGATTAGAAGTAGGAGCATAATTTTGCTATATGCCTATACCTTTTACGCGATTACATTAACTTGAGACAGTGTTGGAGCGCAATAATGTTTTATTTTTGATAATGTTCAAGTTACGCTGAAGAATAGAAAAAAGTAAATGCCGAGGAGCATTTGCTTTGCTTCAGTTCAACAAAATAGCCGATTATCACTGTTTCCTCCTCATATGTACCTCGACAGGTCTCAAAGCTTTAACATAGTATGCCAACATTAAAATGCATAAATAATGATAAAAAAAAGCAGATCGTATAAACGAGAACCTTGTTTATTATTCGGCGCACACATTTTATTTTGCATGACTTAGCTTACATCAAAGTCACTTGGGATCGACATACTTGAGGAGGGCAGTACTCGAGATCTATATAAGGAATAGGAAATCATACAAAATATGCAAGGCCCAATCTCAACGAGCTCGTTTGTTGAAAATACTAGACCATAATTCCACTTAAAGCCTAAAACGGAAAGCCGCTCTGCGATTGAGGGGACATTCCATGGCAGTGCTTATCAATTCTTCGGTACTTTCTTGGTATACTACTATTTTGATTGGCAACTTCTTTCATTCCTTTATTGTCGACTGGGCCGGGGATATATATATATATATATATATATATAACAGAACGAAGTCTTCTCACTTGACTGACGAAGAGCCCTCCAGGCCCGAAACGTTTCATCAATCTCACTTTTTTGGCAACCTCCTCGGCTAACTTTTAAGGGCTAATATTTTGTTGAGTATATATATATATATATATATATATATATATATATATATATATATATATATATATATATATATATATATATATATATATATATATATATATAAGTACTGCCGGCCTTGAAACAAACAATTTGGTGCTGATCCTATCGTAAAAAGGTTGAGTGAAATTGTGGTATTGAAAAGCCGGAGAGTGTTTTTTTTTTTTTTTTTTCATAAATTACAAAGCGAGGGTATTCCAGCAGTTCGGTAATGCTGAACGGATTCTACACGCTATTAAGCGAGCGGAATAAAGATTAAATATAGAAGACAAAACAGGCTTAGGTGAGAAAATGTGAAAAGCGATAATAGCTATCAAAGATTAGTTGTAGGCCTTTAGAACTTGGATTGAAACTCAACGCACTTTGTTGCGCTTTTTTGAGCGAATTTGTTTCCTCCGGTATGGTAAACTTTATTTGAATTCGTAGTGGGATGAGACAAATGTTTTCGCGGTTTTCTTTGAATATTCGCCGTAGACTTAGGTTAGTTCTGGTGAGGAAACGGTCTTAAAAAAAAGAACTTGAAAGGTGAAATAATTATACTTTCATTAAGATATTACGGGTATATACTTATGCTAAAATTGGGGAAAACACTTTCCAAGTCCCAGGCCCCCTAGCTGGCACACAGCGGAGTGAAATAGCAACAGTTTTCAGGTAAATTTCTTTGACAAAAGCAACAAAAACATTAACAAACGTTGAAGTAAAAAAAATAATTGAAGGGGCTTTGCAATTTCTCAAATGTTACAAAGCTGACAGAAACAAGTTGGAAAATAGTTAGGATGTAAAGTAATTTTGGGTCGTGGAAATCCGCTTGAATGCAAGGAAGGAATGATAATAATGCTTGGAGTTGGGCTAGTTGGTTTGACATTGATGGTATGCTGCGCTGCGCTTCATTTCTTCAGTGTTTTTTTCCGCGTAACTACGCAGCGCAGCATACCATCAAGGAACGATAAAGTCTTTGAGGGAATCCGCTTAAATGCACGCCCTACGTTCAAGCGACAGTTGAATATAACGAGGCCAGCTTTCAAAGCTGTCGGCAGTTACGTTTCGGTCTCAAATTTCTCTCAGCCCCAACATCAAAATGTCAGATTGTCGCACCATTTTCCCTAATTGAAAATACATTTCCGAACATAGGCCCGTTCCCAGCCGCCCTCCTGTCTCTCTGACAAGACCCCGAGAGACCTTCGAGTCTCACCACATCACCAGAGGCCCTTCGCGTGGGGCTTGGGACCCGATGGCGCCGAGGATCCGCATCACGGACGAGCACCAGCGCACCCTGAGCCTCAGCGGGCCCGAGGGATCATCACCGCCATCCAACGACCACGGAGCACGTTGGTCACATATTGCTCCTTCTGGGATTTTATTGACTCAGGCATCCATGCCGTTGAACCCTGTTTAAGCTATCGAAAGCACAAAACGTAAGGGCCCATACACGCATCTGCATTTCAGCGCGTTGAGTTCCCTTGCGGCAAACGGCTGCGGAACGTTGCCGCGAGCTTTTGCTCCAAGCTTGTGCACGCAGTTGCGTCCACAAGCAGTCGACCACTGTCAAGGTACATTAAAAACGCGCTATCGTCGCTCGCGGGTCATCAATAGTAAGCGAAATCTCCGGAAACATGGTGGCGCCTGGCAACAGCATCGAGGTTGATCGAAATGGCCGATCTTGAAACGATTCCGCTGGCTTGCGTGACTTCTGTTCAGCATGGATGCGCATCGCTGACATTGACGGGCGCGGCCGAGCACGTGAACCTCCCTTTATTTTTTTTTTGGCTTGTGATTGGTGTACCGCAACGCAACACTTTGGAAAGTTGAGCCAAGCTTTACTCTCTTGCGTTGCGCTGCGGAGTGGTGCGCGACCGCGTGCTTCGTAACGCAAGCAGTCGGTTACGATAGAAAAGACGCCGTTCCGCATTCAGACGCGTTCAAACGCAAATGTGTGTATGGGCATCAAGTCTTGCGTAGCTGTCCATGGGCACAGTGTTGCTCACTAGAATAAAGTTTTTGTTAAAGGGCGCAAGAAACCTAGGTGATGTTAAGCCTGGCGAAAGGTACCTTAGACTGCGGTTCATTAAAACCGCGGTGCACGCATTCATAGCAGCGCTAAGTCAGCCCTAAAAACAGCTCTGATGCAACAGTGACATAAACGTAACTTAGTAGTGACGCAGGGCTGTATTAGCGCTGTATCACTTGTATACTACGCGAACGTATTGCAGCATCAGTAAGGTTAGCGATATTTCCATCGCTGCCTAATAGCGCTGAGGTAGTGTTATGGCATATGTGTGAACATGACTTTGGGGGGCAATATGCTTGTTTTGTCCTCAAGGAAACCCAAATTTTGGGTACTTCTGAGAATTTTCATTAAATGATGTTGGTAACCTTGTTGTATAGGAGTGTTAAGAGAAGTGCAACTCTCTCGCAGTAAGGGTTGATAAGAAATGGTTAGGAAGAAATAGCCTAAAATATATTGGTGATAAATATACTGAAATGCATAAAAACAGACATCTAAATAGGCGTCACGATGCGCAAAGAAAAAAACGTCTAAAATGAGTGACTGAAAGTACGAATACAGAAATACATTTTGTTGGGGCAGAAATATTGATACTGAAATATATCTTTCCCAAAAATATAAAGTAAGCTTTTACACATCGCCACACTAGTTAAATCCAGCTTCTAGAATATGAAAAAGAACACAATCACGGTCTATACTATTAAACAAAGACACGAAGTTTTTCTTTATACATACAAACGAGCACTCGCTCTAAGGTGCAGCTTGGATTTTGACATTGACTTTCTTGAGTACGAAGTAACTTTTCCGCAGAATTAACAACTTTTTTTAGCGTGGTGCTAAGAGAAACGCGCGGGCCTTCTGTAGATTAAAAAGCTTTTCATCGGGGATAGAGAGCGGTTCCTTCTTCGGTACCTTTTACAATTCTGAGAAAAAATCGTATGGACCTTTCTGTCGGTTACATGTCTTTCTCAAATCACATCGAAAGGTCGCCATCCACTAATCTAATCCGGGCACCTTTTCCAGCAGATATTTCATGTAGCCACGATGTAGGAAACGGTTACACTGTGTTCCCAGTTTCGGGAATAATATTTTGGACACATGCGTGTTTGGTCTGAACGCTGAAACTTTACCCCCACCCGTGTGTCTGGAAGAACAGTCTTACAGTTCTGACGCTCATACCGGCAGCGTACTCTGCTTTCTGTATTTACAACAATAGTAAACCACCTAAAATATTTCGAAAAATAATGTAGAATAGAAATAGCCATCATACTTAGTGAAATGTCAACCTACAGTACTGAATCTCGTCTGCAGGTCAACAAAGCCTCTGCTTCCCCTTTACTGGACCCTTCACCCCTATCTATAAAAAGGAAAACCAATAATGTTTATCTTTATCTTAGAGCTGGGGTCTACAAACCCTGATCCGTGGGCCCCCTCCGGCCGGCGGAAGTCCTCCGACAGGCCCGTTGCAAGCCGCAGTTTTTCCAGTGAGGCCCGGCCTGTAACCCGCATCCAGCAGACCCCCGGCTAGCGGCGTAAAAAGAAGTGCGCTTAAAGACACGACTACGCGACGCGCTCTAAATGCGCAAACTATTCTACCAGAAAGAACAGGAAAAACAAGTTGATTGAAATGTATTTCAATTCAGGAACACGCGAGGGAATGTGTTTCGACGCAGAAATACGAATAACATTGATAAATTTGTACCGTCATACAGAAATACAAGTACGAAATACATCTCTGAAACACTATCGCTTGAACATGATAGCCGGAAGTGTAACTGAATTGCTTGATTGGCTGATATTTACATATTTCATATTATAGGATTGCCTAGGTCCCACAAACTGTTTACCTATTTGTGATTGGCATAACATATCTGCAAACAATTTCCCATAATCTCTGAAGGAAAATAATTTACCGAAAGTTTATAAAAAAAGTTTAGATATAATTGCCCATGAAATATTTTGAACTAACTAATAAAGTATAATTTTCGCTTGAAGTTAGCGCGACTATTACAGTAACATGACCATGCTTGCTCCGCAATGTTAAAAAGATGATGAAAAACGTTGCGCTAAAAACAGGGTTTGAACATTTCGATTTGCAAAAAAAGCTGACGAAGCGTAATCTATTGACAATAGACAATTTTTACCCCACCAATATATTACTTCTTATGTGCAATGAAAAGAAAAATAAAACAAAAATTGTAATATTTTCAGGATAATGATTAACTAGGCATCATGCTAGAGAAATAACACATGCTTCCCTTAATCAACTTCGAGAAACAAACAAACAAAATACAGGACGGAATTTGAAGGCCCTAGTCTTGCTTTCCATGGCGTACTTCGTGAAAGAGGCTACACTGGGGGGCATTTGTTGGCATTTTCGAGGAAAGGAGAAGAAAGCGCGCACTGCTTTAATCAGTACTCAAAATTGGAGAGGGCAGGCGTGTCCGCTCCTTAGACTATAATGCTAAGATACGTAGTCCCCGAATATAGGAGTGTTCAAAACTGGACCTGTTGGTAGTAAATAATTATAAAACAAAGCGCAGAAGAAAAAAAAGTAAGAATAAAGCAAGGACAAAGTAAGTCACCTACGATATTGTGAGTAAGCCCCCGTCTGTCTTTTTTTCTTTTAGCCGTCTTTTGTGCGCTGTTTTATAACGATAAAAAATGAGACGTTTATAATCGCCCGTAACGCCAAATGAGGGCGCAGCTCTTGAGGAGGAGGAGGGAAGGGTACCGAGGGGATAGGGTGGAAATCCCCCACTACTAACACGGGTGTGGATCGACATGGTGCTTAACGCAAGTTGCAGAAAATCCACATCTTTGGTGAGAGCATCGCGTGTAAATTTGGCGAGAATTTAGCGGGGCAATTGTTTCCCCTAACTTTAGCGGAGATTTGTTTTCCACTACATTTAGCGGGGAAATATTTTGCGCTAAATTTAGCGGGGAAATTTTTCCTGCTAGATTTAGGGGGAAATTTTTCCGCTAAATTTAGCGGAGATATTTTTCCGCTAGATTTAGCAGGGAAATTTTTTCCGCTAAATTTAGCGAGCAATTTGTTTCCGATAGATAAAGCGGGGAAATTCTCTCCGCTAAATTTTAGCGGATAATTTGTCTTCGCTAGATTTAGCGGGGAAATGTTTTCCGCTAAATTGAGTGGGGAATTTAACCTCATCGTCATCGTAACTGATGGCGTGACACGTGACGTCATCACAGTGACGTCACTGGTGACGATGACGATGACGTCATCGTGATGACGGACAAAAATGAAAGACGTTTACAATCCCCTGTAACGCCAAATTAGAGCGTAGCTCTTGAGCAGCAGGAGGGAAGGGTACTGAGGGGAGGAGGCGGAAAGTCCCCCACTACTAACATGGGTGTGGATCGACGCGTGTTTAACGCAAGTCGCAGAAAATCCACACCTTTGGTGAGAGCATCGCGTGTAAATTTGGCGGGAATTTCGCGGGTCAATTTTTGCCCTAACTTTAGCGGGGAAATTTTTCTGCTAGATTTAGCAGGGAATTTTTTTTTTGCTAGATTCAGCGGGGAATTTTTTTCCGCTAAATTGAGCGGGGACTTTAACGTCATCGTCATTGTCATCGTCACTGATGAAGTGACACCGGACGTCATCGTAGTGACGTCACCGGTGACGATGGCGATGACGTCATCGTGATGAGCATCCTCACCGTCATCGTCATCGGCGGTTACGCCGACGGCAACGCCGACGCCGCTCAAGCCGGAAACGGGCGCCTAAGAGCTGCGCTCTAAAACTGATTTGAAGGAACAATTGCAAGATCGAGTTTACCACGTTCTGAGCTACCCAGATTTTTTTTTTCATGTAAATAGTAATTGTACCGTGTTAGACGACAGTTCCTTACGACACAGGCTCCTCCTCGTCAAATGGTGACCCGGACCACGAACCTGTCTCCGCCGGCGCAACGAGTCCCCGGGGTCTACGATCAAGAGCCTCGATGCCCCTCTGCCCATCTCAGCTTACGCAGGAGCAGCAGCAGCCCCTTATGGTAAGCAGCCGGGCAAACCTGATCCCAATTGGGGAGCCTTATGCATGTAAGAACCAGGTACGTATGTTTAATTCAAAATCATCGTGCTACGTTTTAATTCGCCATAACGCCGTGCAGATCGATAATACGTATATTTATCGGCTTGGCACACAAACCTATAATTCCAAGAGAAGATTGTGCTATAAGGGTCATTTGATAAGTATGGTAAAAAGCAAAAGGAACACAGTTTCTTTTTCTTAAATGTTACGTTATATCTTAACATAGTCTTCATTGAGGGCTACACACTTGGTCCAGCGAGCTTCGGTCTCCTTAATTTGGTCAGAAAAATGGGATTACTTAAACCCTGCATAATATGCATTTACGGCGGCGATGATGTCCTCATACAATAAAAATTTTGTCCTATCGTGCCACCTTTTAAATTTGAGAGGAAGCGAATTTCCCACGGAGCCATGTCCGGTGAATAGGGGGAATATGGCAGTATTGGAAAATAAATAAAAAAAAAATAGGGAATGGGTTTCAAGCATAATTCGTGCAGTTTCGCCATTGCGACGGTTGATTTGCGGGCTGCAACATTTTCCTGGTGAAAAATCACTTTTTGGTGCGCCATTGCGGACCGCTTTAGTTTTAATTATTTGTTCCAGACGGTAGGATAATGTTGCATTATAGGCCCCTCTTATTTCTTTTTACACTTCTTCAAAAAGTGGACCAAAATGATTCCTTGGGTATCTCAAAACATAGCGGCCATCACCTCATCAGCCGACAAGACGGTCTTCGCCTTTTTAGATGCACTTTCACCAGTCGTTGTCCGCTGCTTTCACCGCTACTTCGACTCAGGTGTGGAGTGGTGGATCCAAAGTCGATTTGTGATCCACGATCACGAATCGACGCAGAAAATCTCTTTGGCATTGCGATTTAACATCGCCAAATACTGCATCCAGGTGCCCCCATGGGAATGTTTTTGGTCGACATTGCGCAGTTTTGGCACCCATCACACACACGCACAAAGTTTTCATTATGCAATATTCTGTGCAGGATATTGCGCACTAGCTCAGTTGAGATGCCTAGTCTCAGCAATATCGCGCACTTTAACTTGACGGTCTTTCATGAAACCACAGTGAATTTGTTGATTGATTTCTTTCGTGGTGATCTCAACTCGGCGTCCCGAGCTCGATTCATCTTCAGGGGATGTTCGGTCACGTTGAAAGTCGTTGATTCAGATAGAAATCGGTCTTTAACCTTGGTGCAGAGTCACCAATACTTCAATCAACTCGGCTTTGATCTGTGCGGCCTTCGACTTTTTGAAGTAAAAATGTTTGATCACCGCTCGAAACTCGTATTTCTTTTTGCAGTTTTGTGGTAACTGACAAAGTGCTTGCTTAAAACATTTATTTAGTGGGAACCACGTGTCGCGTTTTGTTGAAATTATGCCTCAACCAGTTTTGAAGAGCTACAGTCGCCAGCCGTATTATTATGACAAGAATAGTGGCGCCATGTTATAGACATTGACCGAACTTATGAAACGAACCTACACCCGGGGCCCCAAACTCGTCAAACACAAAGTTGGTGCCAAAAGCTCGCGGAGCGCGCCGATTGGATGCCGGCGACAAAAGCGCGAAGTCATCATCGTGATAGTCCAATCGGTGCGCTCCGTGAACTTTGGTCCTAACTTTGTGTTTGACGAGTTTAGAGCCCCAGATCTTTGCATGCGACCACTCACTTGGGCGGGTGTAGTGAATTGATATTCATACCTTTTTTTTTTTTTGCGGCTTCATTGTGGGAGATGCGTGAAGAACGGGCTTGTGATATCTGGATTGCTGGGTCCAGCAAATTCACGTAGCTCAATGCAAGCTCATAATCACACCAAAAGTGCTCCGAAGCTCACAGCGCTCTCCTTAAACTCCCATAGTTCTGGTACTTTTTTTTTCGCGTTGTGGGCTTATTAACAAAACGGTGTGACCCAAGCTATTGGCTTTCTACTGTGGAGAGGCCGAGTAAGCTTGCTCACCGCGGATCAGAGCGCGTGAAGCAAGATCAATAGAGCTGCAGAGCTCAGGAATCCAGAGTTCCATCCTCGATCCTGTTAATTCTAAATTCCAAGGGTGTGCCATATTTATTTGCACTTTGTTTGTTTGCTGCGAATATCGGCCACTTAGAAGTTGGTAGATGTCCCACATTTTTATGTACTCACTCTGGAGCCGAATGTTCTTGCACCACCTGTGTGGCAGCTTATCTATGCTAGACTGGAAATTTACATGAAAATTCATTTTAGTTCAGCAACACAGTTCGCGTGACATGACGTCACGTGAGCTTTTTGCGTGAGGTGAAGTTCCCTCGTGACCTGACGCCCATTACGTCAAGCCATATGACGCGATGGCATCAGGTGAAACCATTTCTTCACATCGCGACGTCATGTCACATCATGTCAAATACTGAACGTGTTTTTTACTCCCCAAAAAACTCCTCAATATCGTCTAAAAAATTTAAACGATCGATCCTTCAATATGCCGGCCAGCGCCTGATAGAGCTGTGAAGATAAGGGTCCCTGCCACTTGTTTATTTCTTTAAGTAAGGAACCGGAAGACAACTGCTTCCTATTAAAGAAATAATAAAGAATGAATTCATGCGTCAAAATAACGTAACGAACCGGAAGATATCTGCTTCCTATTAAAGAAATAATAAAGAATGGATTCATGCGTCAAAATAACGTAACGAACCGGAAGACAACTGCTTCCCATTAAAGAAATAATAAAGAATGAATTCATGCGTCAAAATAACGTTTACTCAGAAAGCAAATTTTAATGATTCTCCAGAACATATTAGAAACAAAAATATATTTTATTTTATTTTTGTAGTAAGAAAAAAGCTTAGAACACAATCAAGATTTCTGCGGACTACGGGAGGTAAAAAATGTCTCATATATAATCCACTGGAAACTGGCACCTGATGACTGTCTTAAGTGAGCATTATAAGGTTGACTTGAGGGTTGTGCAGCGTGAACAGGTTGAGTCTTTAAAGGGAACCCTGCCACACAAAAGTCTAAAGCACCTGAAGCGTCGACTTTCCAACTAAGCGATTATGAGAGCCAGTCACTGCGATCTGTGGAAAAGTCTCGTTGAATGGCGAGTCTAAAAAATGTCTCGACTGAAAAACAAAAAACAATATTGGATCTGACACTGATAGTAATGGAGCCTCACAGCCAGCGTCACAGTGCAAACCGTTTCTTAGGTCTCAACCAAAATCAAAGAAGAGAGAGGTGTCTGAACGGTGCCGCCTCCCTCACCGCTCGCACTTCAGACAAATGCCGTGAGATGGTGTAACACCTCTGGGGTAGTAGGAAGCCGAGGAGTGCCACTCGGGGAACCGTCCCTATTCGCGCACAGGTTTACAAGACCCATACGTCTCGGGCGGCGCACGTGGCGTTGTTATGAAGGCTTCCAAGTCTACAGTGCTCCTGCCGGGAGATGCGCGAAGCCCGAGCAAATTTTTGCGGCCTTGGCTTTGCTTGTTTAGGCAACTCTCTCGCCTTTCCCCCGGGTCTACGCGTACTTTCAGCCTGATCATTCGTCGAGCTCCCTCTGTGGATCGCAGCTGATTGCCTTTCCCAGGGATGTGCAGAAACGCCAAAGTTTCGGAGTCCTCAGAGTGAATAAATAAACAATGACGATCGCTGCCGCCTCTTTCCGTTCGTCAGCAGTCTCCCGTGAAGCTGGAGGCAGAGTACGGCATCGCAGAGGTCCCCGTCCGGCTTGACCAGCGTCGGTCCACTCTGCCGAGGAGCCACAGACCCACCCGCTCCTGGAACCCCCCCACTCAAGGAATCGCCAGCTCCTTGCTGTAAGCGGCGCTTCATAATATATTCACTGACGTCTTTCAAAGCGCAAGGAGTGACTTTCGATTGGCACGCTTCGTGCTTTGTGGTTCTCTCTTCGCTGTTCTTATCAGCTGATACTGTAATCTAATTGACTGCGGATGCCTGGGACTTGCCCGGGACTAGTCACGTCCCACGTCTCTAAAGCTGTCAGTGTCCATAGTTAACTTCACAATGATTGGTCGCATTTTATATTCGTTATGCCTGACAGATAGCGAGCAGCGTTTATAAATCTCTAAAAGGATGTTACACTAGTTCCGAAATAGCCCGTACGAATCATTCTTCTGTCAACAAAACACATTCTAGATAGTAAAGGTACTTTTATACTCCAACGTAACGTCGACGGGCGCGGCGTAGCGCAGCGTGCACAGATTCTGATTGGACGCAGATATCTAGTTCCCGGTTGCCGGCCAATGAAAGGCGCGCGTTCTGCACAACGCTGCGTTCACTGCGCTCAACGTCGGAGTATAAACGGCCCTTAACAGCCTATACTTCGTCTCATCCTACGATGGACTAAAGGCCAGAGCCACGGGCCGCCAGGTCCAATCACGTTCCACGCTGACACGCTTAGCATTGACAAGGTTTGGACGAATAATGCTCTGAATTCAAAAGCGCTGCGTCATTTTTCTAGCTTCGACACTGCAAAGAGCCATACGTCGTGGCTTTCTTTGCAATGTAATATTTGTGAGTCACTCATTGCTCGATCCAAACCACTGTCCGCCCATTCCCATCAGTGATCCGAGACGCGGGCACTGATACGTGCATCGAAGTGAAACACCACGCAATGACTAAGTGGTTCGTGATTGGATCTGGCGGTTTGTAGCTTCTGTCTTTAGTCCATCGTAGGGTGAGACGAAGTATAAGCATTTTGCAGCGCCTACTTTCAACGCAAAGCACTTGGCAGAGCCAATCACTGCCATCTGCCCTGGGGTATCGGCGATTGATCAAAGCTGATAAAATATTTACACCTAAAAAGAAAAAAAAAAACCCAAAAAAAAAAACTGTCTCCGCTGTGGCACTCGGCATGCTGAAACGTCATGCTCACTGGCACGGCGTGTTCTGTTTCTTAAAGTCTAAACATACCGCAGAGTGCTGCCAAGCGCTCTGCGGGAAAGTGGGCGCTCCAGATTTTTTAGTGTCAGGGACGTAGAGCGATGAACTTTCTGCGTAACATACAAAAGGGAAACGTGAGGGCCAAGTCTGGAGACAAGTGCTGCATTAATAGTTCGGCTGCGACTCATGCAATCTTCGACCGCAGCACTCGCTGTCAAAAAACACCCGTGAATAAGAGTGAAAATCGTAGCTACCCATATAAACCCCGTTCGTTCCCAAGCCGTGCAAGCGTCCCAGCGTGGCTTAGTCTTTAGGGTATCTGGCTCGCATCCGAGGGGCCGTGGACTTGAATGCCGCCTCCGTGTAACATTCTTGAAATTTAGTTTTAAGTAAAATGAATTACTTTATAAAGTTAAATAATTTGAGACAGGTGGCAACCTTTAATTTAATTCGCATTGCATGTAATGATTTAATCACTTTGTTTATCAGGCTTGACGTCGCTCTTCACGCAAGCGTTGTGGGTTGTTTGAAATCCTTGCGTGAGGACATGTGCCTGCGACGCCATGAACCGATCGACCAATCAGCATTTTCGTGGCTTTTCTGGGGTACGCCACCGGCTTTTCTGGCACGCCGCATTTTCTGGCACGCTGGATTTTCTGGCACCCCACCTAGGCCGGCGCGATATGAGCGCCTTAAAGGGGATGTAGAAAATTCAGCACTAGCAGTTATGATATTTTTATCCAGGAAAGGAGAAGGTTAAGTGCAACTGCATCAAGCCAATGGCGTAACTCAAACACAGATATGGCTTAAACCAAATCCGCCTATTCATTCAGTGGGACAATCACAGAGGCATTGCAAGGTAAAATCAAACTCGCACGCCATGAAAAGTTATGCAGCCTGAGGGTGGCCTGCAATTGAGTGTGCTGATACTGGTTCAACGCTGATGAGGAGCAGCGTGGTCAACGTAGTATATTTCTTACCTGGAACATTCACTACATACCTTGTTAATTGCTGCAGCGGTTTTCACGTTGCCTATTTATAATAAAAACTGAAAGTGTTCGAAGGCAAAGGCAATAAATAAATAAATAAATAAGGCTTCAATCTACGCTGTGAAGATGGTTGGGGAGGGAAGCTGTGGTATCACCTCCAACGATTGCCCACGGAACTATACACAAACTTTATGGCACACAGCAGAATGCAGTGCTCCATTCTTTGACGTCCCAGAGAACTTTCGGTTCATGAAAAGAATGAACAAGGGCCACCTTAGCACCGCTGCCTGAAATGTAAATAAAACGTTTAGCCACCAATTCTGCAGGTGAACGCCAAAATAACGAAGGAGTGCGAGATCTGTTAATATGCTTCGAATATCCTTGTAAACCAACTTGCCTGCTCCAAGATGTTATATTGTTGAGCCGAAAACCCTCGTTAAAACGCTAACTTTGTTTTCCGTGGAGGATCTATGCTTTCTAGCACTGGTGACATAGGCAAGGTCAACAGGCTTGCAAAGACAGTGCAACCGGAAGTCGCTTGGGGCACAAGCGGCAGTAAACTGCAAAAGGGTCTATACTCATATGATTGTAAAAAAAAGTAAACGCACTGTACCAGAAATTTTTTTTTTTTTTATATGAAAGTCTTCGTACGCTGCCTTTGCCGCGGCGGCTTATGCAACCGTAATCATTACTGAGAAACGCGTGCGAGAAGCGCTACGTGCCTCGCATTCTTTGCAGGGCTAGTAACGTCAGTCCACACTTCGTATTCTGCCGTTTGCCGCTGCAGCCTATGCAACCGCAATTTTTACCGAGAAACGCACGCGCTGAGCGCTACGTGCGTATTATCTATCACGTGGCTTGGACACTAGTTTTTGTTTTTATTGAAACAAGTGTCAAAATCAGATAAGAGATAAGGCGAGCGCGAGCGGTGATAAAGCGGACGCTATAGCTTTCTGTCGACGGCCACCAAAAAAAAAGTCTCAAGATTCATGTATAGCTTCGCTGTCAAAACGCCGCTTTCGTGTTCGGGCTGTGCTTCTCAGTGTACATATATTATATTCTAGTTATGTCAACTAATGTATTACATGTTCACGTAACGCTCCAAAGGGTCGAAATGTTTAAACTGAAAAATCCGCCACTACATGTAAAACAAGCGAGTTAAGATCTATGAAAGAAACATATACAGATCGACATATTTGAGATTTCCGAAGATTTGGACTCGCACTTCTGGCGAAACAAAGTCTAGCGCTCTACATTTTACATTCACTGATATGATGGAAACGGCAGGGCTTTTTTACCAGATGCCCGACCTCTACCACGCGGTCGTCGCCTTATACCGAGCAATAGCTGCGCGGGCACGCCCCAAGTTAACGAAACGTCCAAGTGTTATCGAAGAGGGAAAGCTGGCGCTAGAGGCGGGACAGCTGAGAGACCTCTCCTCCGAACTCGTCTTGTCACTGACATATACAGCCCATCATTGTTCAAAGGACGCGGCCGACGATCCTCAAACGTGGCTGACCACAATCCAGGTTTTCGTCGTCCAAGTCCAGTGCCGGCCAGGCTCCTCAGCCGCAGAAGAAACGCAGCAGGGTCGAACGACTTCTCCGGAAGACGCTACTCGCCGCCGTGCTGGGCATCGTCCTGTGCTGCCTTCAGGGCTACGGCGTCGCAGGTCCGCACGGGATGTTCGCCGCTGCCCCCAGGGCCGCTGCCGTCCTGCCATGGTTCGCCTACCAGACTCTCCACAGGTATACACAGCGGGTAGGCTCACTCCATTCAGGAGCGAGAGCACTACAGTCAATGTCAGTTTTGACAAGTACACGCTGATTACAAGCACTAACTTAGTAATCAGCGTGTACGTAGAGAAGGCCGTTTTACGTGGGGTCAACATTTTTACTGCCAGCATTAAATTTGAGGGTGAATTGCAAACACGCTCCTCAGAATGTTGGTTACTGTTTTAAAACTCGGTTCCTGTAGCTAACTCAAGCCGGCTTTGTATCCCGATTGCCTGTCCAACCGGAATTTTCAAAGAAATATGTGCATTTCACTGTTTCGTTTCGTACACCTGATATGCCCAATTTTTGAAGGTCTTGCTCAAGACATTTAATTCATCTATCAAACAATGCACATTGATGCAAGTGTGAATATGCTGATACGTTTATTAGTTAGCACATGGGAAAAGTGAGGCATGCCCAATAGACCATTTGCTAAATCCCCCAGGTGCCCCGGCCAGCACTTGAGGAATCATAAGACCGGTGTTCCTTCAGTTCCTTACTGATCGGTAATTTTGACCGATTCAATGCTTACACGTTTGAGTGTAATGCGTAGTCATCCTTAATAAGCGTGGTGTAGATTGCAGAGACCTGTCATATCAGTTTAGGAATTTCTCTTCAATGTTAGCGTTTTTCACTCTGTGCATGCAATCCAACCTTCAGCCTGGCTGAGCCGGAGAAATATCTTACAACATTATCATTCTCGTGGTTGTTGTTTTAGCAGGAATTCTTTAGAAAGCCGAGAATTCACAACGAGTTTTCGCTCGGAGTCAGGGGGGCTTCTTATAGCATTTTTAGCATTGCTAAGTTAATATCAGATTTTTTTATGCTCTACGAAAATGGTAATATTCTGAGAGATTTCTGCAATCCAGAGAGGTTGAAGGGTGAATTGCATGCCGTACCAAAAACGCTGACATTGACGAAAAATATTGAAAGTGATGTGACAGGTCCCTGCAATCTATAGGAAGTATTCACTGGACGCCATATTTGTGAGTGCTGTTTAGAGCGCATGCTCAGAGCGAGCTCCCATTACTAGGCTGCTAAGACCGGCACTCTCGATGGTGCGGAATGCACGTTGCAAAATAACTATGGACGCTCGCCATCAGCACGCGCTCAGAATTTGCGCACACAGCTATGGCCGCCAGTGAATACTCGCTATACGACACTTACTCAGGGTGGTTTCAAATTACACTAAAAAGTGGGCAAGCATCTGATAGACCCCTCTCCCTAAGCGTTCCACGTATGCGCAAGGCCGCCCTAATTGCACATTAAAAGAGGTAGGCGCCAGTGCACGAGACAGCTCGTGTCGTCTCGTGCTTTGCTCGCGGAGACCTCCAGCGGGGTTGCCGCGCGCGCAGAAAAACTGCAGATCTTAGAACGCATGGCGGCAGTGGTTGTGTACTCGAACTAGCTGTTGAGATCGATCTATTGCTTGAAATTACCGATCACTAGGGAACTGAAGGAACACCGTATACATGGTTCCTGAGTGCGGGCCGGGGTTCTTGGGGAATTTAACAAGTGCTCTATTTTGAATGCACTGCAATGCCCCACACGGTAGGGGATTCATAATATATCCCACAGTTTCAGGTGAATAAAGAAATGATTTAAGATTCCACATCATTCGGGGCATGATGGAATAAATCCCGAACGGGATAACGTTCCCTGCGGTGCCTCAAGTGGGCTGCCTACGTGAGTCCACTGGGGTTCCCATGAAGGAAGCCTTTGTGAACCGGCCACCTAGGTCCCTTGTCTGCCCCACGAGACGGGTCCATAAGGGCTGCTCATCTAGGCCTCCCGTGGGCCCCGCGATGAGGGCCCTTGTGGGCTGCCCAAGTAACACCATTGTGGGTCCCACGAAGGGAGCACCTATGTGCTGCCCAAGTTTGCCCCCTGTGGGTCCCTCGGGGCTGCCCAGGTGGGCTGTAAAAATGGGCTCCACTTGGGTCCAACTTGCAAAACCGACGTGGGACTCACGTGGGTTTACAAGTGAGTGTGGCCCACATCGGCCTCCTATATATAGCAATATCTTTTCTGGTAGGCTGTCAATATGTTTCATTCAAAACACATTTTCAGACTTATCATTCTCTTTTGTAGGTTCTGCGATTAGCTCTTCAAAGTGCTAGATAAGTAGACGTACTGGATTTCTTATAGTGTTTTTACCATACCGCGAACAAGTGTTCCAAAGTGCGTTTTTGTCACATCGGAGCGCAATGAGCGACACACTAATCAAGGAGCTACATAAAGTACGCGCTGGGAACGCGCGATATCGACGCAGTCTCGGTATATCGCTGGAGGAGACAAATACACGTAGGCATAATTGGCGGGTAAAGATGCAGAATAGACGCGCAAGAAGCGGCTTTATTTCGCAGGCCATATAGAAAAGAAAACCAGCTATGGATATTCGGAATCGAGGGCCGTATACGATACTAGTACCCGAAGTGCGCAAAACGAAATTAATGGGGATTGGCATGAGCTGTGCAGTCAAGCGTAAAGACTTTTTCCTGTCAAAATTATGCCAAGTCCTCGTTATACTGTGATAAGGTGCTCATTACACGATAATGTTTTTATTGTATATTTATGCTAAGAACTCCTGAACGGGCCTGAATTTATTACGAATGACCGTGTGTGAACACTTGCACATTAACAAACGTATAGAATACCAGCAAATTAATAATTATTCAACAAACGCAAACGTGCGCACAAAGACAAATTTATTTCCTTTAATGCGGCGGCGCATCTGCTACAGACATTTACGACGTTGGGAGCTGCCTGGGAACGACGCAAATCAACTGAGATCGTTGAACTTTCTTTGTCGAGGATGGATGATCTAAGGACTTTCTAAACGTCATCAAGTAGCATTAAGAGTGCTCTTTGAAATGTTAGTCTGAGCAGTTCATTGTACTGGCATGCTTGAATGTTAGCGGTTTAACAACGAAATATAAAGGTTCAACATGAGGGTCTGTTGGAAAAATTACGTGCGAGCAGAACTCTGTCTAACACTGATTACGGACGTTAACCAAGAAGCGTTGATACCATGTACCGTAAAATCGACAAAATTGAAAATAGCCCCAAAATAATTTATGTCGTTGTGTGACTTCCCTGAAATCTTATGGACACGGTAATGGTATTTCCAAGGCTTTATGTAAAAAAAAAGAGAAGCTTAGCTCTACACATAAGCATCTCTACAATGACTAATTTGAACGGCATCTTTAAGAACACGACTTTCGCCAGAATAATTCTTCCGAACTTGCAGCTAAAGAAATAATAAGTAAACTAGGCGGGGGGGGGGGGGGGGGGGCGGGGGGGGGGGGGGGAACTGATTAATGTTAGACATATCCACAAAAAAAAAAAACAGGAGACGACAGACGAAGGGAACAAACAAATTAAGTGTTGTTGAGACGCCATGTGTTTGTCCCCTTTTTGGTCCGTCGTTTCCGCTTTGTTCAAAATTGTAGCTATACTCCGTTTTACCTGAAGTCCGACCGCGCTCTTGGATCTGAGGAAGCAAATAAAGCGGCGTCAGATGTGCAAGATAATTACGCTCATCGCCCCTGTGCGTTTGTCATTCCCGGCTAAACCAATTCGTGATTGGTTTAACCGGTGATAAAAAACTCACGAAGACAACTATACTTCATTTCAGCTTCGGTCCGAGCGCGGCCTATGTTATGAGCCGAAGGGCCAATCAAAGAGCGAAAGAGGCACAACGTCATGGCGTGCTCTCTGCACTTGATAGGACAAGCCGGCGGAGGAGCACGCACAGAGAGACGGCGAATACCGGCTGGTCCTATCAACTGCAGAGAGCACGCCATGACGTTGTGCCTCTTTCGCTCTTTGATTGGCCCTTCGGCTCAAAACATCGGCCACGCTCGGACCGAAGCTGAAACGAAGTATAGCGCCGTGACGATGCACTCATTGGGCTGCAGGACTGGCCCCAACGGATTGCAGCGCTGGATGGCTGTCAGGCCTAAAGGGCAAGGAAGTAAACTCTGCTAAAAGGGTGTTTGTACTCTTACACCGTTCTGTTTCATATAATACACTCCATAACTTCAGTTTGAAGTGCAGCGCACTCACGTCGAACAGACGGCCCCAACGTTTACGGGGGGCTTGATAACGGTACGATATAACTTATTAAACAACTAAAGCACGGATAAAAAAATACAGAAAATAAAAATACTAAAGTTTTGCAGTAAAGCCGAGACAAACCCGATTTTTTTCTTGTATTCAGTAACACGTACTTTAGCTATTTTATTAAGTCATATACAATCTTGTGCAACACAAAGACGAAGACAAAAGCAGAGAAGAGGACACAACAAGGCGCAACTTTCAACTGAATTTTATTGAAAACGTGTTCCCGTATATATAGTCTCAACCATCGTTACAATGACAACAAAAAGAAAAAAGTAAAAGGAAAAACACCATGACAGAGCATAACTGGGAAACAACACTGTCTCGTTCTCAGGAAAAACAATTCCTTCTCCGATAATGCAATCGAGGGCGTAGCAACATACGTGTCTCCTAAATAATCAATGCGCTCTGCTTCTATGATTTCGCGTGTTACCGCAGACTTGCATTTCCCAATTTTTATGCATTCATCCAACAGTGGGGTACAACCGCATGTCCTGCAATGCAAGTCAAGAAAGCCACCGTTCTTTTTTTACGCGTTGTTATTGTGCTAGCGAAGCCGATCATTTAGGCAGCGCCCCGTCTGCCCGACGTAGTGGCTGCCACAGGACAACGGAATGCGATAAACCACGCCATCTGTACAGTCGACAAATTTCGTTCTGTGCTTCTTTTCACATCCGTGTTTGGCACGCACGCCAGGCTTTGATAGTTTGCACAGGTTCATGAGCTTATTGGGCGCAGAAAACACTACCTTTACATTTGATTGCATTGCTACATCCTTTAAATTGTGCGACACTCGGTGTATATACGGAATCACAACAACTTTTCCTTTTTGTCTTACCGACTGGCTCCCATTGTTTTCCACGAGACAGCGCTTTCTTAGAAGGCCTTCCGCGACCGCAACAAGAATGTGTTTAGGATACCCAGCTGCGAGCAAGCGCAAAACTTGCTGATTAAAACCCTTGGGGATCAAATGCTCACAGGACTTTTTTTAGTGCACTGGTGAAACACAGATTAGCAATACTCCTTTTGACTAGCTTGGAGTGGGTTGAATGAAAGGGAAGTAACGGCTTATTCGCACGTGGCTCATAGCACCAACAGGTGTGGTCGTTGAGAATAAAAATTGGATGTCAAGGAAGCGAATAGTGTTGTCCACAGCTATCTCATGCGTGACCTCGAGTGGGCCAAAACATTCCTTAAAAGCGGTCAGGGTTTTGACAGCCTCTGCTTCAAAAGCGTTTGTTTCAGATGCGATGAAAACTAAAAAGTCATCTACGTACCTACATCGGTTCGACGCATTATCGGAGAAGGAATTGTTTTTCCTGAGAACGAGATAGTGTTGTTTCCCAGGTATGCTCTGTCATGGTGTTTTTTCCTTTACTCTTGTCTTTTTGTTGTAATTGTAACGATGGTTGAGACTATATATACGGGAACACGTTTTCAATAAAATTCAGTTGAAAGTTGCGCCTTGTTGTGTCCTCTTCTCTGCATTTGTCCTCGTCTTTGTTGCGCACAAGATTGTATAAGATGTCAAACCAACTCGCCCAAACAACCACTCTTCTTTAGTAAGTCGTTCCGCTCGGCCATGAAGCCGCTCGTAAAAGTTGCTACCATTGGTTGGACGTCTGTGCGCTGTACGTATAACTGAAGTTTTGGGATGTCTCATGTGGGACGAGGGGTGTAAGGGCATACCTTTCTTTTCTGAGTGTGTAGAGAAAGCTGTCGTCTTAAAGCGACGGAGTTAATTAAATAAATACGTATCAAAATGAATTTAACCAGTCTCATAATATCTGGTTGCGGTTAAACGTTCTACGCGATGTGAAAAAGTCGGTATAGTTTAGTACACTTAAAATCCGATGCAATAAATCTGTAAATAAATCAATCAGTCAAACCACACCAATGAATACTGTTTTATTTGCACATATGAGGGGAAAGGTACACGCCTAACTCCTCTTCTTTCTAATGTCAACCTTTTTCTCGGAATTTATTTGTGATTATAATTCATAATCTTGTATTTACTCTTACGACTTCTCCACACTGGTAAACGTTAAAGCGGTGATTGTTTCGTAACCATTTATCAACTTTTACAGTGCGTTCTCCAGGATTAGGGAGGCTCTTGTTATTCTTGTGTAATCACTAACACCCCTATGAAGCAGTCTATGAGAACAGAACTGCAGTCAGTAGCTTGTAAGTTGACTTAAGGCTGAACTCCATGGGACGAATATGCTGCGAAAAATCGACGAATATGCCCGGCGGCTTTCGCTCTGCGCGTGCAATCAGCAGAGTGGCTGCTACGTCGCGCGCAAAGCGAGCGTGCCGTCGGGCGTAGTTCGTCAGTCATTCGTCGCATAATTCGCTCCATGGAATCCGGCCTTTATAATGCAAACAAAAACAAGCAGATACAATGCTTCAGCTTTGGAGCACTATTTACGGCACACACCGTTTCTGGTGTTTATTGATATCTGACTTGTGGTATTTCGGAGAAGGCGCCGTGTAATAGAGATTTCGGTTGCACGTCAAAAGATTCCCAGGTGGTAGAAATTAATCCTCAGTCCTCCGCTAGGGCGTGCCAGCTGCCCGTCGTTGGTTTGGCCCGTAAAACCCCCAAATTTTATTTTTTCTGACTTGTGGTATTTTCTGTGACGTTAATGCCAGTTTCCGAACAGGTTTGTATAAAATCCGCCGAAGTGTATACGACGTACGTTATTTAAAATATGAAAATCACTGGCGGCCGCGATATTTACAGCATCGCTTCCTGCGTAAATTCAAGTTTCTTCCGAGCAATGACGTACCGCTCGTCTCCAATGCGTGTTCACAGGGCATGCCAAAAACTATGGTAGCTTCGGAGCCGCTACTTGAGGACGCGGACTTTGTTAAAGGGCAAGATATAATCTTCAAGATGCAAACTTCAAAAATAATTAGAAATATAATCTAAAAGCAAGATGTTTGAAGAAATGCTTAGTTTAACCAAGCTATTAAAACGAAATGCAAAGCGTAAAGAAAACTGCGACTGATGAATTTGAAATTCACTTAACAGAATGTCATAATTACTCGAAACGTTTTATGCACAGACAAGCGTCATATCTTAATTTTATCTCGTAGGTGGCTGGAATTCACCATGGCCTGTATCATGGCCAGCATCACCAGGAAGTCTCTGTACGGCAACTGCTACCGGCAACACAGCTGCAACGAAAAGTACAGGGGATCCCTTTTCTCCTGAGCCAACGTCTCATACGGACTATTGCGTCCACCGACACGCCTCGTCGTAGAGTCGGGTGCCTCCAGAGAGCAGTACAAGGCAGCTTCAGACACTGCTGCATTTGCGGCATGCTCTGTTCTCAACCCATGTGGTTGACGTAAGGTCGCACAAGGCAGAGAGGGGACACTGCGCACACAGAACGTTCTTGCGTAAGACTGACACTAGATGAACGTCTAGGCCTGTCAGATGGAAAGACAGCATCTCGAATCACTGCTATTTTTGTGCGTGTTACCCAGACGTGTGATGCGTGTCATACTGTACAGAAAACGCAATATGACAAACAATTTAGGGCATTCGTGTCAACGCTGAGCCGACGCACTCATCCTTTTATATCGGGAAATCAAACTTTAGTCATTTCATTTATTGTGTTCTTATTAAATTTGTGTGGTGCAAGCACTCGTACCAAAAAAAGAAGATTGTAAATACTAATACTCGTTGTAAGGACGTTTGCTGTCCTGGAAAGCAGGCAAACCAGAGACCATTCTGAGAGTGTGGTAGAGTGGTCCAAGTGTGGCATGCGTTAAATTCGTCCGAACGCTTAGTGTTTTTTTTTATATGCTGACTCGCATTTAAGGTTCTTCGTGTGTACACGAGTCTGTCGCCAAGTAATGTTTCAGTTCACAACAGATGTCGCCGAAGAAACCACGGTCAGCACACACATCTATGGGAAACTTTGCCAAAGTACATGTGTCTGCCTGTGTGTGTTGTCAAGGAAAAGCTCTGAAACAAAGAGCGTTGCATATTGCTGCGCGACTTTCTTAGTGCGTTTATAATGCCCTCTCACAGCTGTTAATGCTACTGCTTTATTTCTTACCTACCCCGGCCTGAGAAAGGGACAATGTGACTAAATATTGATGACTCTATTAATGGTTAATGATTTGATTTTATAACATTAAGCAGTGGAAGTATTGACTATGTCAAACAGCTAACGCTTGAGCAGTTTGCACCTACCTGACTATCATACTTTACAAGCAGTGTGGCCTAAAATAACTTAAAAATAAAACAAAAGTGCCGATTTTAGACTATTGTATATTAAAAAGGGTAACCAGCAATGGTGGACAGCAAATTGTGAACCAAATGTTTCCATTTGCATATCGACAGCTGGAGTCATAATTGTCGACCTTGTCCTCTTCTAGGGCGGTAGGGTTTAGTATTGGCGTCGTTCAGACGTCCATTAGTTTTTAACTTGGTCTACATTGTCGTGTTTCGACTAGCATATTCTTATGGGCGTTATCTATACGATCCTTAAGTCTCCGCCCCTGATATCGGAATGCTGAGTCCAATATTAATAGCGACGCGCGCAGCATTACCAAGTATTATACATAGACGTCTGTGAAAGTTTATATTAATTATTTGTGATAATAAAAATGATTGGTGTACTAACAATTCAAAACATTTTATATGTCTAGGAACAACACGGCTACGAATTTGAGTGAATAAGCACTCACGTGCTTTTTGCTAATAGAGGTGAACTGCCGAAGACCTTGGATTATATGTTAATATTAAAACCGGATGAAAATTCTGGAAAATTGTTGAGTCAACCTTTGACGAACTAAGCTTAATAATGTAAGATGTTGCGGGAATAGTTTCTATAATTTTTGTAACACATGGCAACCTGTTTGTAAATATTGAAAAAAAACTGCCAATTATTTTGATTAGTCTGTAAAAACAATCTTCCAGGTTGCTTACTATTTAGGTATATGACGGAAATAGTGAAGTTGTGCCTCGTCTTATGTGAAAACAATATATATGATAATGGTTATATGGGGGAAAGTCTATGGCGGCCCACGTGAACAAATATCGACACATTTTAGTCCTGTTCTTCTCTATACAAAAATACTTGCATTATAAATAGTGTGCATGCGAATGTAGAAAGTGCAATCTATAAGTTTTGCTGCTTTGATATATTCTGTGCTAATTATTGCATAGCACCATAGATGTGTTTCAAGGAATACTGTTGAATCCATTGTGAAATGTTAGTGCATCTCCTTGCACCGTTGTATCTCACGTGGCCACTATCCACCAGCCGTGAATTTCATGCTTGCACGTCCACACATCGCGCTTGAAGTTGAAGTGTCTTGCTCCTTGTTCTTTTCCTACGAGAGGTCATAGTACACACACTCACACACACACACAAAACGTTTTTTGTTGTCGTGTAGCCTCCCCTCCAAAGTGTTCGAATGCTCGAAAACGACATTCCAAAAGAAAAATCAAAGAACTGTGATATGCCTCGCATTTTCTCCGATCCTCATAACACACTTCCCACGCACCTCAATCGCAAACAAAGTGTCACCAATACTGCAGCACCAGCAAGCCTGACTCCAGGTAAAAAGAAGATGTCTTGTTGGTTGTACGAAGGACTTGCGATATTTGCAACCCAGCTTCAAACAGTGTTGTGCTCGTTAGGTGTTGAGTTGTCTTCAAAATTTAAATATAAACTTGTCAGCCACAGATAACTCGGAATTTTTTAGTACCCTCATGAATTTTGTTTCTACTTTTACGATATGAGTGAACAAAAAATTTAGGGCTACGCTTCAGAAATGGTTCCTTATAAACATTATACATGATGCCCTAATGTCTAATGTCTATGGCGTGCCATTATTACCTCAAGTAAAATTAGGAATATACAGATATTTTTTTTTAAATGAGACACAGTTTATCACCAATATTGATGAACGTACCTGTTAAAATAAAAATGCTTGCATCTATCCAAGGTCCCGTAGTCCCGTTGGCATTTTGAAGCGTGTAAAATGTTATGGCTGAAGTCACATCTCTAGGTTACACTCATATTTTATTGTTTAACACGACGCATTTGTCAAGGTCGCATGGTCTTACATTGAGTGATGTTCCGCCACAATATCTGCTTCTGTTTGTAAAGGTGGCGGTTAGAAAAACACATTTCCACACACATACATTAAGAATCCAGAATGTGGCCAGCACTGAAAGACCAAACTTTAGTCGGAAGGCTAACAAACGGGCATGTATACGCCATACTATGTTGTTCTTGAGCTGGTGGCAAGAGTACGTTGTTACATCTTCGTGAGGTGCAATACATTGTATGTTATTACAGCTCGTGACTTTTGAAAACGCAGGTAACAAGCGAATGATGGCAGTGCACGTGGTTCCGACTTCTAATATCCATAGCACCGTGCCTTTCCTTCTATGAGTTTCTTCTGGTATGAGATCATGTCATACCACTTTTGTTTAAAAGTATCGAACTAGGATCTATTTGGGTACTTGTGCACACAAGCAGTTACAGCCTACCAAGAAACCCAGACGCTAGTGGGCGTACAATCTGGAAAGACTGTCTGTTGCCCGGAATTTGCTGGCGGATATGTTAGAGTAAAGTTAGCGTGCATTTTCAGTTTAAAATCATCACGGCCCGACCTCAAACAGTGGGGGAATAGAATTGAGTTCAGCCAATCAATTCATGACATTCCATCTACAGCGTTAGCAACTATGAATAGAAAACAGGTGCAATCTGTAGGATGTTTACTTCTTTCGTGTCCACAGAAGAATCAGAGAACCACTAACCTGCCATTTGCAACCGTTGCAGAGATTTGTCTCGCATGCAAGATATCTTTTGAGTGCCAAACATTGTTGTAAGTTCGTTTGTTGATGTGTCATTCACAGATATAGTAAATAAATATAATATATTGAGGTTATAAGTGAATCTTGTTGTATTCTTCCTCCTGATATGGTAACTGCATATATTACCTGAAAGGGTTTATAAATGCCCGAAATAACTAGGAAATGTTTATTTTTTCCTCAGTACCGAAGATATGTCAAATCCTAGCAACCTTTAGGGAACATGAGCCCAATATTACACTGGCATCCTGGCCAGATGACGGTCGATTTAAAGAACAAAAATGAGATGGTCAGAATGTCACCAGAGTGCCAATTTCCTCTTCCTTCTTGATGCCTGAAGTGAACTTCAGAAAACTGAATGGTTCCATGCATCTCGAAGAAACTCTATACATCGACAGCTTGATTTTAGATAGAACTGACACGAGCGCAGCAAACGGCGTCTATATGTGGGGTGCAGTTAAGCAGAAGATAAAAAGGTAAATGATTGGATAAAATATATGCGTCAACTGTACAGTTGCGAAAAGGTAATGCACAAATAGAAAATTAATAAATTAGTATTTTTCAGCTAACTTGAGGCTTAGTTGGGTGAGAATATGTATTTTGTTGCAAAACTATTTGAATGCATAATGAATTAGAATAAACACACACAATTGCAATCTGACGTTTGTATTTCTAAAATGTATATGATACTCGCATAGTTTTAAATCATAATTTTCAGTTGCAGGACGTCCTGGCACTATAGTAAGGTCCTGATACTCACCAGAAACTACTTGTCTCGGTGACTGTTGAAGTAAGTTATTTGGCCAATCGTATAACTATAGCATACAACCTGTCTTCGTTAATTTGCGAAGCCATTTAATCATACAATTATTTTACCTTTAAGGGCCCCATCAGGGGCATTACATAAGAGGGGCTACAGGAAAAACACAAAGCAGTGACCACACAAGGGAACATGATATTGATTACGCATTTATTATAGATAACAGCGCATTTAAAAAAGAATTGGGGTTACGTGTGTGTAATTTGTGGTCCGGCAAGTTATTCTGTGCTGTTATCAGGAGAAGAAACGAGGCGCTATAAGTGTCAGTGGAACGACGGGATGGAACGTATACAAAAGAAATTAAAATATTGTTGGGATGAAGGGAAAGGCTATAGCAGCACAGACTGTCTCAGTTGAGGGTGGTGGTAAAATATTTTACGGAAGTGTCAAAGGGGAAATATTCTGCGGCGACTACTGAGGCGGGACACTACCAGGGAATGTCAGCTTTTGAACCGCTCACTGGATCGGCGAGATATGTGCAGGTGGGGTTAATAGCCACGTAGAAGGAGCGCATGCAAAGTTTCAGCACTGTGAACCAAATTTATTAGTACTATACCCCCAGATCGACGTAAAGCATAGCTCTGCATGGAATCTGCTCAATGA